CCCCAAAACCCCAAAACCCCAAAACCCCATTTTTGTTATATATGTTTGAATTAAGTTATTTGTCTAATTTGGAAGGTTGTTTAGCAAAGTTGTACGTTTCCAAATCCTTCGCTATCCAGAAGGATCCTTATCTCTTGCTTAGTGACACCTCACTGTGTCACTCTGATCTTCTCTAGGCTGATTTTAAATCAGCTGAAGATCCAAGTGACTTGATCAAATTCTCCAACTGATTTGGGTTGGAGGCCCAGTCTCCATAAGAGGCATGGCCACAATAGCTCAGGTCTAGGTACTGAATATTGGTACCTTCAAGCTCATTGCTCAGCGATACCTCCTTCGGGAGGTCTAATCTACATCAAGTGAATCCAAAATTAAGCTTATCCCTAAAGGCCAAGAACAGTTCCTTCAACTGGGAAGAACTTATCTCCAGCATATAGAGGAAGAGGGTCTGTGTAATCTGAGGAGCAATTCTTAACAGAGATGGCAAGTATGGACTCAGATCTCTTGTTTCAGTATTGTTGTTGAAGTCAAGTCTTTTTAGCTTTTTGGGATAGTAATTTTGGAGGAAAGATATCACTTCTTCTGAGTCATCAGGGACTCATCTAAGGTCGAGTCTGGAGAGGTCAGGAATCTGGCTGTTTATAGAGGAGATAAAGGACATATGAGATTCTTTTTGAAGATCAAGAGTAAGAGATGACTTTGGAGTTATATTGAAATCCTCTGAGGTTATGCATTTATAAAGAACGTTAAATTCCTTTGGGATAGAAAAGCTAAGCATATTCACTATCTCTTCTTTTATTGTAGAGATAGGATTAGAACTGCTCCTATCTTTTAATTTCAATGATGATGTATCAAAAGATATCTTTCCAGAATTGATCTTCTCAATCATAGATTCTTTTAACGAGGTCATATCCTCTGTTTTCTTAAATTCTTCATGCTTTTCTTTAACAGATTCTTCAAATTCTTTCTTAGACTTGGCAAGTAAAGTTTTGAGTCTTTTACAGCCTTTCTTTCTCTCTTCAATTTCTTTTCATAATCTTCTTTCATGAATCTGAGATAAGTGGCAAGCAATTGAGAATAGGCTTTCCTCAAACATGATCATCAGCTGGCCCTGCATTCAATAATTTTATCGATTTGGCTCCGGATGATGACCCTTTTTGCGAACTTGCCTTTGAAGCTCTATAGAAAAGTTTAGACAAAGAGGTCAAGTTTCAATAGACCAAAGGAAAGTATTTCAAGATTTATGAATAAGGAGAAATATAAACTTACTTGCTAACAACTGACTGGGCCTTTTTGCTTTTGCCTTCACTGTTTTTGGTAGATTTATTCTTATTTCATATTGTTTAGCTCTTCTGCTTTAGTTTTAAACTTGTCATCTAATAACTTCATTCTCTTTCTTCCAGTTGCTATTTGATCTTCTTTAGTCTTTATAATACCTTCCAATTTTTTAATTTTAAGATCTTTCTCTTTAAGCAATTGCTCGTTCTTTGGCTTAGGAATCTCTCTAAAACCGTAATTGCAAATTTCTAAAACACCAAAGTCCCGTTTAACCCTCTCTTCTCCTCACTTACCCTTCCTTACTGTTCTCCTCTTCTTGTTTCATCCTCCTCTCTTTTCCTTTTGCTTGTGAGTTTTCTATTTCTTCTTCGCAGACTTTCCACAAGCAGAACTCTACGAAGAAGTCTTCTTCCTTAAGGTCCTTCTTTATAGCTTCGAGTTCTTTCTTGATGTCTAAAGCTGAGGTTTGGGTTTTGAGTGTTATAGGTGGAGTCTTGTCTGATATTATCTTTTCAACTTCTCTCACTCCCATCTCCTCTAGCAGCGTATTCATTAAATTGTACAAGTGTTTTTGTGATATGATCTAGTGAGAACTTCAATCCAAATCACTTTTGGCTCATCTTCAGTCCCATTTCTTCTTCATAAATTCCTCCTAATTGATCACAATCTTCTTTAACCCCCTCACTATTATCTCATTCCGTAACATCCATGCTATGAACTGCAAGATTAAAACTATTCAGATTTAGTTCCTAGTTGTTCATGCTAGGCTGGAATAAATTTTAGTTGTTTAAGAGAGAGATAGGTTAGTTGGAGTGGTGGGTTGATGGGGTGGGTTTGGGAGGGAATTTAGTGGTGGTATGGGAGGTGTGTTTGGGGTGATGGATGAGGATTTTGGATGAAAATTTGTCGTGTTTTGAAGATAAGACCTATTCTACTTCTTCTTCAATAAACACTCCTTCAAAAGACACTCTAAGCAGTAACAGCCTCTTAAAAAATTCAATGTATAGCCAAGCGTTTGGGGTTTTGGGGTTTTGGGGTTTTGGGG